ACCTGATGCGTCAAAATTGGACGCAAAGGGACCTTTGAAAAACGTCAATATGTGACGACTCGGGAGTGAGAATGTGTTGCTCCAACATGTAAGGCTGGATGGACAAGTCTTCCCTTGTTGACATCCTTTAATTAATTTATAAATAAAAAGTTTCTGCATTACCATGTATTTGTAAATCCCTCTATCAAAGTACAATGAACTGCTCTGTTGGCTGGAAGTGGGCGGGGTCTGAACCGCTTCATTTGGATTTAAAGAGACAGCCTCAAAAGGAGTCACATCTCAGAAAAGGGGTGAAAGAGGGGCTTGTGGAGCTACAATAAGGAGGAATTCAGACCAAAGCATTGCAGTTCCACTTTATATAGACGCCAACTGAATGATTTAAATGTGAAAAAGACGGATTTAAAAGCATGTCTCTTTTAATGATAGCTCTTTTTTTAGCTTTCTGAATGTGACTATGTTTAATGCTGAAAAGTACCTCCCAACACTGAGGAGAAACCATRTTAAGCAGTTTTCTGTGAGAGGAGAGAAATACAGAGTTGCAGAGTTTTATAGAGGAAACAGGTCATCTACYAGACTATATCAGTATAAACTGTGTTGTCAGGGAAAAAAATACAAAAATAAATTTGAAAGTCGATATACTGCCGAGCTCTGCTTATCATTCACCCAATCCCCTGACCTCTTGGAAGGTAACTTTTAAGACTTTAGCCACATCCGCCCCATTTTCCTCACCTTTCTCATTTTTCACATCCAATTCTTCTCGCCATTCCTGTCTATTAATCTCTTTCTCCTCCGCTGTGCGCTCCATCTTTGTTTGCTCAGAGGAGGACAGGAAGTTGTCTTAAGGCGGCAAAATTGGTGTTTGTGTGTCTCTGTCAGCAGATTGAGAGCCACCCACTGGACCTACAGTATCAGAACAAATCAGACTGAGATATGGGGCTGCGGTGTGTGTGCATGCGCGCGTGTGTGTGTGTGTCTGTGTGTGAGTGTGTATTCCTTTTTTTAAAATGTACTATATCAGTTTGAGCTATAGCTCTGTGGATAATTGGTTTGGTGAAATAGTGCTGAGTGTCTGTAGCTRTGGTGGCCTTCTCACACACGTGTATGTGTGTGTGTGCGCGTGTGAAAATGAGTCTGCAGTGTTTTATAGATAAACCCATATCAGCGCTTCCAGTCTTYCCTCTATTTCACACAGAGAAGTGCTCCACAAGGAGTTTGCTATAAAGCTGTTCCTCTCTTTCCCCCCTCTCCTGTTCTTTTATTAATTATCAAATAAAAGAAAAAAAAAACATTTATTACATCATCTGGAAACTGTTTGCGTCCAGCCTTATCTCGCCTTTTTGTAGGTAAATTTACTTCCACATAAAGACTGCGATTCTTCTTCCGTCTACAATTGTTTGCCAGTTCCTACTTTTACTGATGTAAACTAATTATGTCGGAGCGTTAAAGCAAAAGAGCAAATTAATTTCCGTTTAATGAGTTGAGAGATCAGTTAGACCCCGTTTTCCTCAACTCAAGGGCGCAGTAGGCAGCACGAGGCATGCTAGTGTGTTTGGGTGTTTTGTTGCCAAGGCGGAGCTCTGCATGCAATTTCTCAAGATAGGATTAAACACAATCTGTGAACTCYTCCTTCTGCTTTGGGAAAGCGCACAGCACAGGATCCAGGTGAGGTCAGAAAGGGCAGCAGTACAGTTTGAAGATCTGTCTAATCACAAGTTTCATTAATGCACCWATAGATTGAATTTCATGTGTGTAACTTGATAAACAGTGGTGGGTACAGTTCCCCTAAAGCACTAAAGCTCTAATAGGGGAACTAATTTCTTTATTAGTGCTTTAGGGCTTTTGCTATTTTTAAAATTCATTAATGGATTAGCTCATGCTAAAATTATAGATTAAATTTAGAAGCACTAACTGAGGTCTTTATATGCTATTGATCAACATTATTGCTCACAATTGAGGGTGAAAGCTGTCATACATTTTGCTCATATGCGTGTCAGTTATCTACAAGGTCACATGTATCAAACGCAAGGCCCGCAGGCCAAAAGTGGCCTGTGGGTGACTCCCATTTGGCCCGCCAAGGCACTAAAGGACAACATTCAGCACACAGTAAATATTGTCTCGTTGACTCTGAAGAATGCTCCATGTCTTAGCTGGATTATTTTAGTGCTTTAGAATTAACTTTTGCTATTTTTTTCAGTGAGTTAGTGCTTTAGAATTAACTTTTGCTATTTTTTTTCAGTGAGTTAGTGCTTTAGAATTAGGGGACCTAAATATTTGAGTTAGTGCTTTAGGGCTAATGCAACTAATAAATGGATTTGTGCTGCCCACCACTGGCTCAAACCTTCTAGAGCTACACATGTGGGTGTTTGTCACTGTTACACAATTTGCTTTTTGACAGTATACAGTATCGGCTTAAGAGTTACTAGTGAACCAACTCCTAAGTTTTTCTGTATGTGAGAGGAAAGGTGTGATTGCATCAAAGACAACTGTTACAACTGATTCTCCCATAGAGGGAACCCAATTCAAGTTGGTCTGCTGCAGCCAATTAGCATTAGGCAACACAAAAAGGACAATTATTTCAGTTTTACAGATCTTGAGCTAATTTTTGGTGTGGTAGTAGCTGAGAGTTATTCTCAATACTTATTTTGAGCTCAAACACAGTTCCTAAATATTACAGGAGATATTAGCATTAACAAGATTTAATTAAAGCTGTTAAAATAGACAATTTTCATCACAAAATCATTTTTTGTTTAAAACTCCAGCATGAACTGCGGTGAGAAATATGCATTACTTTGAGGAATCTTTCATTTTAACGTAAGATTAATCTGTCAAATATCGTTTTGGAAATGTATTTTAGCAAATAGAAACATTACAAATGTTTAACCTGCTTAAAAACCAACTTTAAACTGAAACACATGATGCACTGCATGACTGAAGACGTTTGCCAGAACTGAAAATTGGATAAAAGGAAAAATCTGAGCTACAATGGTACAGTTTGGAGCTTTACAATTCTCAAAAACTTTTATATTTCATAAGGCCAGGAGCTCATGAGTAGAGTGGCTGCAGCTGTGAYGGATGAAACAGAGAACAGGTGAAACTGGCAGGTTGACTGTTGAAAATTATTGACAGGCAAAAAGGCTGATAGCACAGAGGAGGACACAGGTAGGAAAAGACAACATAACACAACAAACTAAGCATCGACCAGAAAAATCAACACAAAAATACATCCTGACACTCCCACACTTTTATCTCTGACAAGTCGATAAAATCAATTCAAAATGCAAGTGCAATAAGACAGAGACTTTTGGTGGTTTTCAAATTGTGATCAAACTGAAAAATTGGCTCCTGCTTTGTGGGGGCAGAGGGAATTTGTGGCTGAGATGTCAAAGGGTAGCAGACTAGAGGCATGTAGCCAACCAGCCATCATCGACTCCATGATAAATATTGGTAATTATAGTGTTGCACTGCAAAATATGAGAAAATTAGTGTGTCACCACAGGTTGACATGTTTTCATTTCTGTTTTTCCAAGCGCCGAATGCAAAATGTCGCCTTTGTCATTGTTGGCAAAAGCCAGATGTTAGTGGRTGTTGGAGGTTTTCTTGTCCAAAATGATCAGAGTTTTCTGAACCCTTTTTTTTCCAGACATGTTGGCTGGTCATTAGAAGGACTAAAAACAGGTAGAACTAATAAACTTTCATTAGTTACTTCTTCTGTTTAAGTGGCAGCAAGTCTGCTTGTTTAATCCCCCAGATCCCAAAACTAGAACACCTAAATGGATCAAAGCCACAGTTAATTACAATATTACCATATGCCGCATCACACAGCACATCAGATTATCTTGACCTGCTCTGCTGTCTGTTGGCATTATAAAGTTATTATTCAGATAAGCTTGACTTTATAGTTCATCTCATCCTTTCACCCTGACATCTGTTATCTGATGCTTTTGTTGTAACTTCAGGCCATCTTTGTACTTTATTTATCCTTTGTACTTACTGTGATCATCCCTTTCAAATTATCACAAAACCAGCTGTTTCAGTTTGCCTTTTTATCTCATAATATTGCATCATGTTCATTTCCTTGTGACACTTAAGGAAATGTGAGGAGGTGGGGAGCTCTACACATCAAAGTCGACACATGTAAAACAAAAACAGTGTACAGTATGCATAAAGCCTCTAGTGGCTCACTTTTATTTGTTGGCAAAAGTGAATTGTTGTCTTGTCAATTATGTTACCAGTACTTTTCTTGTTTACTGAAACAAACACCAGTTTAATTTGAAGATCTAAAATACACTAACAGCTCTTTTCCCTGCATGTATTTGTCCAGGTGCTGCCTCGCCAGACATGTGGCTTGTTTACTCACACCATCTACTACAAGGAATACCCCGGAGGACCTAAAGAACTGGACAAAAGCATCCGTGGGGGAGAGTTGTTTCTCACAGTGCTACTCAACCCAGTGAGTCAGAGAAAGGACACACACAGTCAGAGATATGCTCACACATGATGAACAAATTGAGGAGCAGGGAGGCTTTGCTTGAGCTCTTTTGATTTTCGCTCTTAAAGAGGCATTATGACGGTTTGGTGCCCTCACGTTAAAGCTATCACCTTTTAGTCCTAATCTTTTATCCCCCTCTCTGTGTTTTTGCGGTGTTTGTCGATCTTTTCTTGTCAGGGGCAGCTTCTCACGCAGTTGCTGTGTTCGTCTCTCCACTTTAAATTAGGTCTCGCCACAGGGGGGTTGCTGTCACATACATACACACACACACACATTTTCCACCTCTCACTTACTCCTGCTGTGGATGTCAGCTCAACTCGACTCTCCTTTGAATTAAGGAACAGAATTAGGTTCAGGGTGGGAGTTAAAATGCTTATCTCGCATTGCTTACGCAGTTCGGCATACTTGAAGATTTTCAAAGGAAATGTCCCCGAATATTGTGTGTCACCCTGTTTCCTTCTTTCTGACTGCCTCCAACCTTGCACGTGCACGAACACACAAAGATGCTCATAGACCGGCAGTAAGCCACATTGAAGTGTCAGGTAAGGGAGTGCTGAACCAGAGGAGCTGTCAGAACTCAGCGAACATCACAGAGTCAAGTACGGCTTCTTACAATACCCCAGTCTGCTTCTTTCTTTTGTCTGTCCCTCCCCCCCACTTTGTCTCTGCGTGCCCTTCTTTTGTTTTGAGTTATATTTCTGTTCCATTTTTATTTCCTCTTTGTTATAGTCTAATTTTTTTGTGTCTCTCTGCGTCTCATTAGTTTTGTTGTTGGGAAAATAAAATACAAAGGGTTTTTTCAATCGACACTTGAAATGAGAATTGAGTTTATGCGTAGTTCTACATAATTTAAAACATAAATAACACCTTCACAGAGAAAAGATATCTAGTTCACATTAGATGTTTTTTTTGTCTCCCTCAACAAAAATATTTTAATTCTAGATAAGGACCTAGGAGGTTTGTGAGAGGAAAGTAAATTAACAATGTAATGTAAAGGGTTAGGATATGATGAAAGAAGAGCAATATATATCTTTTCATACTTTTTCCCCAAGTATGTTTTACTGAAAGTCTAGAATTAGGAACTCTTTAAACCAACCTGTGTAAATTTGTTTTTAATTTTAGCTTTTCTAAAACCATTTAATACTGTGTTATGTTTTAATTAAATATCTACAGTTATTTACTGTATCAGTATTTACAGTGGTCTTGATTCTCTTCATAGTTGTATTGCTTGCCTTTGGAATGGAAAATCAGAAGTGTGAATCCCACTCAAAGAAACCTTGATAATGGTTGAAAAAATGATGCCATACTGGTTTGCATGTCACCTCTGTTGAGAAGGAGAGGTGCCTCAAGTTGACATAGGGCACATATGCACTGTCATATCAATTTCCCACAACCAGAATAACATGTTCAGAATAGCATGCTCGCCGTTTGGATTATTAATCGGCGTAAACCTCCACTCTCATTTGGATTACAAATTCTTTTCACTGAATCAGATTGCTGTATAGTATATTCCAATTGATGTGTTTCCGTGGCACATTTTTATTCCGATTGGCCAATTATTCTGATTACTGATGTCCATGTAAACATCGCTGGCAACTGGAGCAGTTCCTGTTGCTGAAATTTTTAGCCTTTAAAGATCGATTCACGACTGCCACTAGTGGTAAAATACTGATCTCTAAATGATACAAAATACAGGAGTATATAGGAGAGGAGAGGAGAGGAGAGGAGAGGAGAGGAGAGGAGA